GGTAAAAAAATGCTAGACCAACTTTAAACTGCTCTTTAAAGAACATAAACATTTAAAACTCATGCTTTTCTCTGCCAATGAAACTTGTTTTCCAGGACAATTTATGTTTTCTCTAATGTTCCATGTGTTTTCCAGGGGTCCGTTCTTCGTACGTGGATTACTCAGTTAGCTGGATTTGGTTATTGACGATTTGATATGATCCAGGATCGTTTCGTTCTTCAAAACTGATCTGAGACTTATTATCATAGCAACAGTTCTGCTAGCTCAAACCTGGTCGGAAGCAGGTTTAAGTCCTATAAACAGGAATAGATCGGCTTAATTCATGCAAAGATAATTCAGAAAGTGTGTACCGAATTCTGATATTTTCTTACAGTAGTAGTTATATACATTTGGGAAAATTGTAATATTTTTTTAACTATATACTATATATATATGACTGCCACCTGCTGGTGCAAAGAGAAAACTTTGATATGAACTTAGATCGCTTTAGTACAATTAGTGTATGATACATGTACAATGTGTAACTTTTTTAAACGCAATAATACATTTATGCAGTCATAAACATGTTTTGACAGTTAATATGCCGGTGATTTGATGCTTCACAAAAGTTGCAGACACCTTTACCAATATCAAAATGTTTTTGTAAACATCCAGTTATTCTTTACACCCATTAAAAAAGGCTACAATAATACTACTATGGCTACTATAATAAGGAAAATCAGCTCGAACTGTAAAACTAAAACTCTTGACACATGAAAGGGCCAAGCATGCAGCCCACAACAAGGTGTAAAATAATTTTCATATTTAACAAACGGTTTGCTGCTCATTTTATGTAATTTAGCTGACATGGATAATTAAATATTAATCAGATGATGTCATTACGCTGCTGTGCCATTAGCCAATCGCTGCGTTGCTGATCATGATTTCGAGGATTGATAGATCAGTCCTTCCCAACACACGCAGCGATCTCAAATCAGTTTATCATGACATTCTAATCTGATTCGCCAACTTGTTTGAAAAACCAAATTAGCGAGAGATCAGTTATCAAGATAAACAGATCCAGGATCTGCCAAATCATCTTAGATCATTTAAGCGAGGTACGAAGAACAGAACCCAGGACTGGAGACTTCATTCATGTTTATACATGTTCCAGGTTTTCCAGGACATGTGGGCACCCTGGATTGGAATAACATTTGCCTCAGTTTAGTCAAGTTCAATACTCTGTTTCTGCTGTTAATGTGTGTCAGCTCCCTCATGTGGACAACAGTTGATAGATGATGTTTGTGTGTCTAACGTAGCTCCTGATCCTGATGAGCCTCAGTCTGATTAAAAACACCTGCAGCAGCTAATCAAGATCTGCAGGACTCCAGTTCATCTACAGAGTATCTAAATGTCCAAATGATGCTGTTTATTGCTTGAATAATTAATAAAGTTCTTCATAAGAATCATGATTGTTTGTAATTTTGTGTCAATACTTAAATAACCCAGTTTCCTATATTTAATGAACTTCATAAAAACTGGTTTGATCATTTGTTTTAACCAACTTCTATTTGATGAAATATCTGTCAATTTCTAAGTAATTATTAAACAGCAACATTCAGTTATCTAAAGCATGTGGTAACAGAGTAACCAAAGGGTTGGGTTGTTGTGGCCTAGTGGTCAGTGAGTTGGACTTGGACTATTCATGTTGGGTGGTACTAGGTTCTATTCCTGATTCTGATTCCTTCAAGGTAACGTGATCTTGAACAAGGCACTTAACTCCTTGGTGCTCACCTCCTCCTGCTCATATGCATGAAATCTCTCATCAGAGCCCTGTTTAACAAATGATTCTTAGCAGCTTCATCACCATAAACCAAACTCTGTGGCTCAGTGGTTAGAGCATTGGGATTCCACGCAAGAGCCCAGAGTTCCGATCTCACCATTGCATATCTTTAAATCATAGTTTTCTAAGTGGATTCATGAAAAAATTTCATTAAACGTGTAATGTGTGTAGACTATTCATTGGCTGAGTGGTTAGAGCGTTAGCTACTCAACCAGGAGTCTTGAGTTCAAATCACGCTTTCGCATAAAGAGTCAAACAGATACTAAATTATAAATAAAACCTTCCATTAAACTTGCAGTGGTTAGAGCCTTTGAAGATGCAGGCTTTAATTTCACTCTTAACATTCTTTGGGGATCCAATAAGGCTGGAATTACAACTCTCACAGTGAGGACCAGCTCTGTGGTTGAGTGGTTAGAGCATTCAATTTGCATTTTGAAGACCCGGGTTTGAATCCAACGGCTGCTGGAATTTCACTGTGGAAAATTATATAAAGATACGACAAACCTCAAATTAAAACCCTCAGACAGCAGGTTTTGCTTGAATTTCACTGTCAATATTTTTTTGGGGATCCAACAAAACTCAAATTACAACCGTTATGGAAGACACAAGCTCAATAGTACAGTGGTTAGAGCATTAGATTTCCATTTTGGAGACCCGGGTTTGAATCCACTGTTGCTTGAATTTCACTCTTAAAATCATTGGGGGATCCAACAAATCCCACATTACACCCTCAGAGACAGCACAAGCTCCATGGTTTAGCGGTTAGCGCATTAGGTTTGCATTTTGAAGACCCGGGTTTGAATCCCACAGCTGCTTGAATTTCACCATTAAAATTCTTAGGGGATCCAACAAAACTCAGATTACAAGTCATGCAATGTACAAGCTCTGTGGCTCAGTGGTTAGAGCGTTCAGCTTTCAATCAGAAATTCGTCAGGCTGAGCACATGTTTAACGCTGTCAGAGAAATTTGGGTTCGAATCCAGGCTCTGCTCACTTTTGCTCTTTGCCTCACCTACAGGCGAACAGGTCAAATATAAGTTCCAGCACATCATTAGGTATGTGACTGTGGCTCAGCGGTAGAGCATTGCCTCAAGGGTTAAGAGGTCGCTGGTTCCATCCCAGCCAGATCACTGCGATATGTGTGAGTGTCAGCGTGAATGAAGGGGGAGGATGAAACGTTCCTCCCCTGACCTACGGGGCCATGTACAGCAGGGGTTATGCTGCTTTTTACTAAAAAAAAAATTAGCTCTATAAAAATCCAGACCCCCGTCCCTTCTCTCCCCGTTTCGGTTACCATCACTTCCTTTCTAGAGAGGTGACCTCTCCAGAAAGGAAGTGATGGTAACCGATAGCACATAACAAAAACGAGCAGGAGGTCTTACCTGTCCGCAGCAGACGTCCATCACGCCAGTAAATGTAGTCCAAACGTCCCGGAGCTCTACTTCTGTTGACTGTACGGTCCAAACACATCCCTCAATCTCTAGAGGAAACACAGAAATAGAGACACTGTCAAACAGCAGATCTAAACATCACACTCTGACAGATATTACAGTTAATAATTCAGAATTATACACATTTACAGCCTAAATATTGCCTGTGCAAGCTCTAGAAACACAGCAGAACATCAGAGCTTCACAAACTGACTTGTTGACACATATTATGTCTTGTTCTGCTTTATAATGAGAGGCTGTTTAACTCTGAGCCTTTACATATTAAACAGCAACTACCAATTCATTTGCTCCTAAATGTCTGACAGTGACAGAGAGCAGCATGTAAACAAAGCTGTTCAACAAACAGGAGAGCTCTGCTTAAACATATCACTAAAGACACTTCAATAAGTGCTAAACATGAACTTAACTGCGACTGAAGTACAAAGAATAAAGACTTAATGAGGAAATGCAGGAGAAATACTGTACAGTTACTTACAGATGAGTGGCTTTTCACTGCATTTCTGTCCTTTATCTCAGCGTGTGTCGGTTATTTTAGTTGTCGGACTGCATTAAATGTTGTTTAGTGACATTAAAACACTGTCGCTGAGCTGTCATCTTCAGTTTATGTGTTTAAAACTGCACACTCGTGCTGCTGCTGCACCAAAACAAACGTCACACTGTCAACATCCTGAAGCTCTGGGTCAGACTGAACGGGAAGTCGCGCGCGCCGCCTGGTGGAGCGGATGGAGAACTGCACTAGAGTCCCTAACAGGACGAGTTACAGCGTTAAAGCCTAGTTTATTTAAAGTCTGATAAGTCATTTAAACTCCAGATATGCATAATTTAAAATGTAGACATCCAGACATTATAATGCATCTATTAGGTAGGTTATTAAATAGCTCAATGTCAAGTGCCAAATAAGTCAAGATGTGGTCGTCAGCGCCCTCGTGTGGACATGAATCAGTGTTGTTCAGATCATGAGCTCGTGGTGTTCAGTCGCAGGTAAGAGGGCTGAGAAATCAATGAATAAAACGCATTTGAAAGCAATCCTGTTATTTATGGCGGGTCTAGACGTGTAAATCTAAGTGTATTATAGCAGTTTTGCTGAATAATCTTTGATGGGGTAAAATAGAAAAGCTGTGTTTAACTCAAATAGACGCACTCAATGTGTAAACAATCAAAACTCAGACGGCTTTTATAGTGATGTGTACATTTTAAGTCGATGTATGTTTTGTTTAGTTATTAGCAATGATATTTATAATCATTGATTACAGTTGAACCATGATTTCTTGTTGTCATGTCTATGTTACTGATATAAAGAGCATTGTAGCCACAGATTTTAGGTTTAGACACAAATTTCATGAGATCAGATCTGTGTTTCAGCGCCGCCTGCTGGACAGTAAGTGTGTCTGCATTAACATCAAACACTAGTTAGAACTAATGATATTTTGGATTGTATATTTTCTTTTACTAAATATAAAACGAAAATATTTAAAACCTGTAAACATCTATATTTTCAGTCTTTTGTTTATGGCAATTATGAATTATGGTTTACAAAATTCATTTTCCCCCCTCAGAAGAAGACAAGAATTAGAAAGACAAAAATGAGTTGCTTTAAACCTAAACTTAATAAGAAAATATCTCAGAATTTATAGATTTAAACGTTTTCTCTTAGACTAAGGAGAAATGTGTTTGTGTTATTCACTGAATGAACTCAAATGGATGCAATATTTGTTAAATAACCTCCTGTTTTTTTTCTTATTAGATGACTTCTGTTGGAATGGATCTACACTGATGTCTGTTTTAGACTCCAGTCCTGGGGACCAACAGAGCTCCACATTTTACATGTTTCTCTTATCAAATACACACAGGTTCCTAAAAACAGGTTGTGAATCAGGGTCCGTATTCACAAAACTTATCTTCTCCTCAACATCGGAAAAAGTTTTAAGCTAAGAGTTTTCTTTTACAACTTATTCACAAAGCTGCAGATTCAAAGGTTTACTGGAGAGATGTCTTGAGCTAAGATTGAGGCCGGGGTTCAGCCCATTGCTATGGATGATGTCAGCATGCTTGTTAACTATGCACACAGAGATTGGACGATAAGCAGGGGAGGAGTCTCTGTCAGAAATGTGTTGATAGAAACTTTGCAGAGGACAATATCATGTGGCTGTATTCAAATAAAGGTTTTAAAATGATACATTAAATAGAAATGAATTGCTTTGAACAATTCAAATTAATTGAATTGCTCTACACCTACAGGTTGAAATGGTGTAACTGCCAATAAGAACACAGTCCAAACATCAATGAATCAATTTAATTGAATCAATTGAATTGATTCATTGAATTTGACCGCTGTAAATGCTTCAAATCAATCGAACTGGTTCAAAGAAAATAATCATAAAGCCTAATGAAGCTGTTTTTCAAAATCACTCTCACTATATACTGTATAAGAGCTTGTAACTGACCTGTGTTCAGTCTTGATCACACCGTCTTCACTTCTGTGTTCTTTTCCTATTAATAAAAAAAACAAAGAAACATTAAAAAAACTGCCTTGTCATATATATGAACATACATTAGATAATGTGCGAGAAATGATCAAGTGATTCACGTTTTGCTCAGTGTCTGGCTTTGTTTGTCATGGTTTTGTGATTGTCTATAATCAGCACAGATTCAGTGGCTCAGCAGATAAAAGTGTTGAACTGTGAACATGAATCCCTGAGTTCAAATCCCAGCATTGCTTTTATTCCACCGTAGCCATTTAATATAAAACAAATGAGCTCAGAAAGCAGCTTTCAGTGTGAAAACCTCAGTGGTGTGAGTGGTAAAACACTGGTTCTGGTCTGGATAGCATCATGGGTTCAGTGAAAACCTCTCTGGGTTCAATCCTCACTATTGCAAATATTAATTTGGTGTCATTATGTGCAACAAAGTGCCATAAACTCCTGAAACACACATGAGTGTCATTGTGGCGCTACTGGCTAAACACATGTTCTTCATGGTTAAGGCTGCTGGAAAGACTTGGGTTCAAAGCCCAGCTCTGCTCACATTTGCTCTCTGGCCCACCAACAAGCGAATTGGGCAAATATAAGTTCCAGCACATCATTAGGTATGTGACTGTGGCTCAGCGGTAGAGCATTGCCTCAAGGGTTAAGAGGTTGCTGGTTCCATCCCAGCCAGATCACTGCGATATGTGTGAGTGTCGGCGTGAATGAAGGGGGAGGATGAAACGTTCCTCCCCTGACCTACGGGGCCATGTACAGCAGGGGTTATGCTGCTTTTTACTAAAAAAAAAATTAGCTCTATAAAAATCCAGACCCCCGTCCCTTCTCTCCCCGTTTCGGTTACCATCACTTCCTTTCTAGAGAGGTGACCTCTCCAGAAAGGAAGTGATGGTAACCGATAGCACATAACACAAAAACGAGCGGGAGGTCTTACCTGTCCGCAGCAGACGTCCATCACGCCAGTAAATGTAGTCCAAACGTCCCGGAGCTCTGCTTCTGTTGACTGTACGGTCCAAACACATCCCTCATTCTCTAGAGAAAGCACACAAAAATTGTTAGGTTAACTGAAAAATTAAAGAGCAATGAAGCACACATAAATAATATATATATATATATATATATATATATATATATATATATATATATATATATATATATATATAGGATTAGTAATCAAAACAAGTGTGGGTTAGGAATTTGATCAGGATTTTACCAGTTTCTTATATTCAAATTTGTTTTTAAGTCAATGTTTAATTAAATACTTTTAGATTTTTGATTAAAAAAAAATTGATGTCTAAAATCATAGACACGCCCCCTTTTTTAATTTTCCTCCCACGGTTGCCCCAAAAAATAACCAATCCGGGAAGGGAAGCGCGATCATTTCTACACTCATTGGTCAGATTTGCAGTCAATCACATTGTTTGACAGCGTGTAAACACTCATTATCGAAACTACATTTTGATGACTGACAAAGTGTTCATTTCAATCAAAAAGTGCAGTAAAATATGTGTAAAAGTCTTTACGTTTGTGCTGATTTACAATACTTTTTATTAGGACAAAGACGTTCCTCCGGTTCCTAAGAAAAGCAGATACATTGTAATGTAAATACTCAATTATACTTTTATAAATGTTTCAGCTAATCTATCACATTTCTTTCGCTACTATTCCAGTATTTAGGCTTGTGGTCAATGCCGCATTTCAATCCGCCTTTATTAAACATGTTCTGGAAACTCATAATAAAATATTTGCTGTTGTAAACAGCGGAAACGCCCACACAATCAAGCCACCGTTTATTACCTTTGTAAACAGCTCTATTCAGTCGACAACATTCAGTATTTCATATTATATTCAGTGCAACACATTTTCATTGAACCCGTGTTTGTAAACGCAAAACGTGGTGTTTGTTTGTTTTCATTACTCACGTTGTCATGACGAGCGTGCTGCTGTCATCTGAAGTTCTACGTCTTCCCACCTGATTCGTGTTGAGTCGAGCTGAGCATTGCTTCTGCCGCCTAGTGGAGTGGGTGAAAAACTGCAGTTTCTACCGCAAGAGATTTCAACTATTATTGACTATATTCCAAAACGACTTTCATGTTGACATTTTTATACTTGATGAAATGTAAATATTGGCATGTTAATAAATAATGTGTATTAGGCAGATAAGAAATATGAGCTCCCTCTTGTGGTCAATAAGTGTATCAACATGTTCATGTTCAGCCAGAGGAGAGCGAGAATAAAAACTAAAATATGATTCTGTCAAGATCTCGACCAGAATAACATGGATTCATTTTTGATAAATCATCCAACTCATCTTGCATTGACGAAATTCAATAATAGAAAACATATCTGATGTACACATCTTTATATATCATGTAGTTTTAGGTATAAAATGTGTCAAACATCGTCATATAATCTTTACACAATTCTTAAAGCAAGTACTCTTACCTGTTTACCTTCTTCCAACATTTCAGGTGCAAAATCTATTATATTTGTTTCTTAATTCTGAGTGTACTGTATTAACTGCAACCAGTTCACCATTTCCCAAAGACCAACATGATGGTGTGGATTTTCATCATTCAACCTGACTGAAAATGATGTCCAGGTGCAGGATAATTAAGCATGCATGTGTCAAATAATTACAACACAAAGAAAACTAAAGCAGATGGAAATAATCCACAACCTTAACACTTCTTTATTTTTATTTGTTTCCTTAAATCCTTTATCACATTTTCCTCTTGTGTTCAGAAAGAGAGCTGCACTGACTGCTTGGTTTCAGAGGTGATTTCAGCTGTCCTGCAGGAGCTCAAAGACTCCACTGAAAATCACTTGATGCTTGTCTTCTTCCTTTAACAAAAGACAAATCACATCAACTTTAATGCACCTTTTTAGATATTGACACCTATACTTCTGAAAATTTAAATAAAATGACCCTTTACTGCAAAATGTATATATGTATAAAAAGTAATTTTAGTTTAAATGTGTATTAATCCCCTTGGAGCAATTCATTCTGACATGGTGGTGCTTTACATATGACAAGAACGACACACTTATGATTCACTTAACACAATAAACACCAACACAAGTAGACAAACAAAAAACTAAACGAAAAAAATTATGATAAAAATCAATAACAACAATCATAATAATAATAACAACAACAACAACAACAACAACAACATATATATATATATATATATAAATTATAATAAATTATAATTCATTCTTTTTATCTTAATGAGTGCTTTAAGCAGGGCAGTCTAAATAATTAGACATTGTAGGTGCATTGTGTTTTGGATAATTAAGCATGTGTCAAATAATTGCAACTCTGAAAAACGATGAACAGAATCCACAACCTTAATAACCTTAACACTTTTAGTTTTTTCATTATTTACATTATATTTTTATATAATTTGTGCTTTAAACAGGTCAGTTAATGAAAACTCTTGAAAATGACAATAAAAGTTCTTAAAAGTAAGCATAAATAAAAAAAAAAAACTCAAAATAAGTGTAAAGATTAGAGAATGCTGTATAAAGGTTCTTTTTATGTATAGGTTAATACAAAAATATGTCTGCAACCTTATAAGATGTATGGTGAACATTCAATAATGCTTTTAATGCAAAAGAATTTACAAGTTAACCCTTTAACTGCCCCAACACAAATTTTTATTTGGAATTTTATTTCTTCACTCCTGATGTTGCTAGTTAATACACTTAATGCATTTTCTTATTTTTCTTTTTTTTAAAACTTTTTATTTAAGAATTTTTAATATATATATATATATATTTTTCAGAACAATCCTTTCCCCAACAATTTTACCGCTTACACACGAATGGATGCATGAAAAAAAAGAAATAATAATAAAAAAATAGAAATAAAAAATACAAATAAAAAATAAAAATAAAAGGTATTGCCATCATAATTACTTCACAGGGGATACATTTGTACATCAAGTTACATTGTGTTGCATTGTAGTTACATCAAATTACAATGATGATAGATTAAGCAACCTCTAAATACTTTTCCACCTCTTCAGAAAAATATCAGCCTTCATTTGTAGACATGCATGCAGTCATTTTTTCCATTATACAGACCCGTGTATACCTCTGAATCCACTGAGCCACATTTGAAGAACTTTCTTCCATCCAATGTACTGTTATCATTTTTTTGCAACCAGTAATAATATCCTTAGTACAAATCTTGTTTCCTTAATAAACTTTCTTTGGACAGTGCTCCCAGTAAGCACATAACTGGATCGAGGGGATATTTTTGTATCTAATATCTTATCTATTTCTTTTTAAACATTTTTCCAAAATTCCTGAATCTTAGGACAGTCACAAAAAATGTGGGTATGATCTCCAATTTTACCGCATTTTATCCAACACAAAGCTACAGATGGTCCTTTTGCATGTGTAGATATTACAAAAGGAGTATTAAAGTATCTCGTTTTAATTGCATTTTCTTTTTCAAGACATCTCACTATTTCTGAAATATCAGCCTCTACCAAATGGTTGATATGTCAGTTTATGGTAAAAGTACCAGAATTATTACACATAATATGAAAAATCTGAAAATATGAAGTGTAAGACCAATTTATTTAAAACATAATCAAAATAAAACATTTCTGAACACTAAATCATCTTTAGTTTTTGAATTATCAATCAAATATTTCAGATTTTCATTTAACATGCTTTCTTGTTTGTATTTTTTTTACAGTAAAACCAAAATCAAGTGTAGAAGTGCAACAGGATTATGTTTGATTTTTCTGTAAACCAACAATGCAGTGTAGTTATTATTCGTTATTTAAAACAGTCATTCTTTGTGGTGAACCATTTAATAGAGCAGGCAGTTAAAGGGTTAAGCAGGGCAGTTATTTAAATGATAGTATGTTGGACATTTAATAATGCCTGTAATACAACAGAATTTAGAGGTATATAGTATAAGTATATAGTAGTATATATTATAAGAGTATACGTTAGCAATTATGTTCAGATTTAAATGCATACTTCTGATTATTACTGGCAACCTGTACATATATTCATCATCATTAATCTCTGTTCATAGCTTTTCATAGCTAAAACAACCTGTATATATACAAAAAAAAAACAACAACAAACAGATTAATTACAAATAATATAGCAGTTTTGAAACCCTAGACATTATTTTACTGTGACAGAGCTCAGCACGCTCTGATGGGAAAAACTGGGTTCGGGGGACCACAAAATTTAACTGATTTTACAACAGTTTTGATAAAACAAATGCAGCCTTGGTAAATATAAGAGACTTCATTCATTCATTCATTTTCCTTCGGCTTAGTCCCTTATTTATCTGGGGTCGTCACAGTAGAATAAACCGCCAACTATTCCAGCATATGTTTTACGCAGCGGATGTCCTTCCTGCCGCAACCCAGTACTGGGAAATTTAAGAGACTTCTTTCAAACAAAAGATAGGAGTTATGGAGTTAACAATAAAGACAAAAATGTTATGGTAATGCACCTAGCATTAATAGTGGCAGAATAAAAGAAAACTGTATCATCTGACAAAATCAAGTTGTCTTAATACCATCAAACCAACTATGTTTCTCTGTCAAATATGGTGATGTGCTGAAGTAAAATGAAATGTCATTTTACAATATGGAAACTGTCATGATTACCAGCAATCTAACCAACAGAGTCCCATTGCTGCTTTCAATATCGCTGAACAGCACTTTGGCCTTGTTATTGATGTATATAGTATCCTGGAAACAAATCGTGTGCTTAATATGTTTCATTTGCTGTCGTGTTATTTGCTTATGCATCAGGCACACTGTACCTCAGAGTATGTGATGGAGAGGATGTCCCCAGAAAGTGTGGTCAGGTTACGAGGCTGCATGAGGTCTTGTGGAAGGAGGGTCCGGCAGCACACTATGTGGTACCTCATGATTCTGGTGTTTTCAGGAGTCCGCTTTAGAAGATCTATTGACTGTACAAAAAGCAAAACATATTAGTCAAATCACATCACAGTACATGTTACTAATTTTCATTATGTTATGTAGATATAAAGACTATTTGAAGGTTAAAAATGTTGTGCTTCAGCTTACAATGGCACCATTAAATTTTAAATTTTGCGTTTACTAAATAATCATTGAAATTTTTTGAGTTAGTATATATCTGTTCCTATATAAGTTACTGTTTAAAGTGTCAGCAGATATCAGTCACTTGCGTCAACAATCCTGACTGATCTTTCAGCTTGTGCTGCAAGCTAATAGGTTCACTACTGCAGTCTGCCAGCCAGTCAGCTTGCATAATCTTTTAACGAGCAAACGATCGTTCAACTTGTCAGCCAATGAGATTCTAGACTCTTTGTACCTCTAGTGCTTAAATAGCCAGCTTCAGCCATTTGCTGTAAACAGCTTCATGGGAGCAGTGCTTGTGGTTCTTGAATGGTGACTTTTAGTAAGGGATTTATTCATTTTTAAAATGCTTATTTTTATTCCAGTTATTGTTTTGCAGGGCGGCATTGTCACTTGTTGTTTAATATCCTGCTTTTAGTAAAGGTAAATGAAACCGTTTCTACCAATACTTGTTATAAGGCCTTTTTCCTTTCTTTGTATGGTATTGGTGGATTCTAATGGTGTGCTTAATCTTTAACATACTGTTTGTTTGGCTTCGCAGGTTAAAGGTTTGGAAATAAGGTGAGTTTTTCATTAACTTATTATTCTAGTTAAGCTTTAACCACAATTGATTGCACCTGAACTACCTAATCAAGTGCCTGTCTAATTTTCTCGGGTTTAACTCATTTTTATTATTATTATTTTAATTTTTTTTTTTTATATTTTTGCTTCTCTCCTTCAAACTTAATTAAATGCACCTGGTTAGTTAAAGTTCCTCAGCCTTATGTACTTAGACTAACATTTTATTAGGTTCGACAGGTTATGTTTTAAAGTGAGGGTGAGAACCTTTTTTAACTCTTGCTGTAACCTGTAACTCTTGCTGCAACAATTCTTTTCTTTTTTTTTTTTTTTTTTTCTTTCCAGGTTTGTTGGAAAATGAATGAGTGAACATGTTGGGTGCTGCTGAATTATAAATCTAAAATGCACCTCAATCTACTCAAGTTCCTTAGCTTTGTTCCTCGTCCAACCCTTTTAAGTTCCACAAGTTGATGTGTGAAAGTGAGGGTAAGTGAACACTTGGGTGCTGCTTCACTCTTGATGCAACTTAAATAAATGCATGAAGAATTTTTTAATATTATTATTATTTTTTTTTTTACTTTTGCGTGTCTGCTTCCCATCATGGGATATCAGTTCTAATGTGACTCCCAAAGATGTCATTTTCTCAGGTTTGTTAAGTAAGGATAAGTGAACAATTGGGTGCTGCTGAATTCTTGCTGCTTATATTTTAAATGCACCTGGTTAATCTAAGTCCCTCTGCCTACGTTCTTAAACTAATCCTTATGTTCCACAGGTTGAGGTTGGAAAGTAAGGGTGAGTGAATTATTTTGAGTGCTCAACTCTTTGCTGCTTCAATCTTTTAAATAAATACACCTGAAATCTAATTATTTGTAATTTTAACTTTCTAATTTCCTAAAGGATAATTTGTGGTTTGGAAAGTGAGCTAATTATTTGGGTGCTGCAGGAGCATGATTTCAGCTTACACCCTAATTGTCCACCTGATCCATCTAATCAGCTCTGTCTTAACTGCAGGTAAGTTTAACTAGAGATGTTCTCACACTTTATCAATTTTCTATAATTAACATTACTATTCTGTAACTAAACTTTACTATTTTGTGATCCACAAGTGCATGTTAGAGGTTTGGAAAGTGAGGGTGAGTTAACATTTAAGTACTGCTCCAAGAGTGAGTTTGGCTTAAACATTAATTAACTTCACCTGGTAGAGCTAATCAAGTCCCATTAGTCTTTCTTGGGCTACACTACAGGTAGGTATATTGGAGAAGGTTTGAGGTATCTTCTATTCCTTAAATCTGGGCTGTTCAAGTTTTATAGGCACTAACTTGACAAATCAATTGTTTAACTGCGAAGAATTTTTTTTTTTTTTTTTTAAACCCACTTTTTTGAAAAGTTTTAATTTAAGAATTAGGATATTTGGACAACCATGCTAAATGTTTCCACTCAAATCTCTTTAAATGTAAAATGTTAACGAAGCTACATTTAGGTTTGCAGGAAATGCTTGTAAATGGTTGCAAATTATTTAAAGTTTGCAGTTTAAGCATTTAAGTTTTCGTAGCCTTTGTGCATACTTGTTGTGAAATCAAGTTTTGTTAATAATTGTGCCGTTATGTCTGATTCACGGCTTTATAACACTAATGTCTGTATACTAAAATGAGATATTTAGCTTGGTTTTCAGCTTCAACCAAGTCATTAAGTTTAACACTCCCCTGTATGCTGCATTTCTCACTCTTACCTGCATTCTATAAGTTTGTTCTTAAGACAAATACTGTAGAGGCCATGATTTCCAAGATAAATACAATTTTCCTGTCAAAAAAAAAAAAAAACAATTTCTAGAATAAATGCATGTCAATATTAAGATTAAACTTGCCCAAATTGCCTTTTATGCAGATCCCTACTGTGCCGTTTCCTAAAATAAATTGGTTGCTTTGGGGATCAAATTTATCCTTGTTTTTGTGTTTACTGTACTTTTCTGCAGGGTGCCTTTTACAAGTCTCTCCATCTGTGTGATTGCAGGATTGTGATTCTAGGAATTGAAGTTTCGGTTTTAATTAAATGTTCTTAACCTATTTCTGTTGAATGGTGTGTTTTTTTTTTTTTTTTTTTTTTTTTTTTTTTTTTTTTTTTGTCCATGGGCTATAAAAATTTTTGCAGTTGCGGCACCATTTTATTGAATTTTTGGTGTCCTAAAATAACTTTTAACCAGGATCTGAGAGCATTTTTGTAATTAGAGACTGGTGTTTTTGGTCAATGTTGCAATTAAACGCTTCAAGAGGGTAAAACTTCAAGCAGTCTTAACACAATCTGCATTGTAAAAGCAATAAACAAATTTAAAGCTTGTGCCCCAAACTCAAGTATACAAAATACATTTTTAGCTATACATGATTGTTTTTATATACTTCAATGCAGAGGTGTTTAACTCCATGTCCTAAAGGGCTATAGATCTGCAAAACTTGGCTTTTACTCCTAATTAGACACTTGCTTAAACTCATTCTTAAAGAATGGTAGAAAACATGTAGATCTGTAGGAATTTTACTGGGATATGGTTTTCAGGAACTAAGTCTGACACACCTGCTGTAATAACAATTTTACAAGCAATCCAAAAAATTTTATTTATTTATTTTTTTTACCATTTAATTAGTAAGTTTGTCCTAGCCTCTTTATTAGGGCTTTTGTGACTAGTTACCATCAACAGGGCATTTCCCATTTACACCATCTAGGCATGGATTCATGGCTTAAGGAAGATGTCCACAAAGGCATTAAAATACAATGTGAAAGTAAAATTAAACAGTTTCTTAGTCATCTAATATGTTACTTGATGTTGTAAATAACATTTACTATTAATTGTGTACACTACCATACAAACAAATTATAAAAGTACACATTTACATTTACAAGTACATACTTTTTCATTGCCTGCATGACCTGGATGGCACATGTATATTCTCCTTCTGGGAAGAGTATGCTTACACACAGCATGGGCTGAGCAACCTCCATTCCTCTCTGCACATGCATCTATAGCTTGGGTTGAAGATAATACAATGTATTATATTAAATCACTCTACAAATGTTTAGTTTTCTTGAGATGAATATTTTCACAATATGTTCCATTCCCCTGAAATCCTGCAATGTAACTTCAGTAATATGAGCTACCTACCAAGCAGCTACATTTAAAACAAGTTTATCAAACCCTATGTAAGCATGTCACAAAAGCATTTGACCCAGTTAGAAATCCAAAAGGTGAGGGGTATTTGCAATTAATGTGAAGCTATAAACCAATTTCAAACCACACCTTCAGTTAATGAGGTGCAGCTGTTTCTAATTCAACTAATCTTGTTCTTTCGGTGTAATGTTTAGTTTAGCTCTAAAGCTGCGGTCACTGGGCTTTTCCTCCCATAGATTAATTTTTTCCCCCTCCATAGACTTTTTTTGGCATACGCACGAATGCGTCAGACCGGAAACGCATGGGTTATGCATCAAGTTTTGCAGGTTGCTGCAGTGCAAAGTTCAAGATCGGTGAACTCTGACCTGCGAAATTGCATCACTTGACTGTTTGAGACCAATCGAGGATCAAAACATGACCTCTCTGGACAGAAATTTATAATATGGAGCAATCCCTCGCTTTTTTTATGTCTAATAATCTTGTTTTATCCCTCCCCTTTTGCAGCGCCGCATGACAGAATTTCGCATTATCAAACGCCAGTGTGACTGCAGCTTGACTCTAATCAAACACGCGTGCTAATAGGTTTCAAGTGATCTTGAAGACACTGATTAGCATGCTCAGGTGTGTTTGATTAGTATTGAAGCTCAGCTATGCAGGACCAGCCGTCCAGGACCAAACGTTTGCACACCCCTGGTTCACACCCAACAAGCAATTTTGCATGTAATTGAAATATAGCATGGATGTCTTTGCTTATTTTTTTCCCAACTGTTTACACACAAAATCTTTTTTTTTTTTTTTTTTTTTTTTTTTTTTTTGTCACACAGTTTCTGAAACCTCTCACTCAAAATGCAAAACTACACCTCAAATCTCCAAAAGCAGAAGATATTTTAAAGCCTTGATCTCAATTTTCACTTTTTTTTCAAAACACTACACACAATTCTTTACCTAAAACACAATTCTAACAGGAATCAATTTGCTTGCCTTTTTTAAACACAACCAATCACAATGCTACACTTATGCAGAAAGTCATACACACTCCACAAATGTAAAAATATATAGGCCAATGGGGATGGGACACTGCTGTTCTGGTCCAGAAAAAAATTGGTTTTCCACCCATCTGAAATATATAGTTTTTTTTACCTACCCTATTTTCTCCTTTTCTAAATCCTAAATTCTAAAAGAATAGAGGAATTCATCGGAGCCTAGTGCTGTCAGTGAATGATGACCAAACCCTATGCCCACATGCCGCTTCTGCAGGTAATGGACACACAGTTGTGTTCTTTTCACAGTTGTGTTCACACACTGATGTGTTCTTTACTGTTTTCTGGAGAACACACTTTTGCTTTACTTTTTTTTTTTTAATGTTTTTTTTAATGCTATAAACAACAATTAAGTTTGACCAAATAAATATTTTCATTTTTACACAAATTTTTTCATGTGATTGGTGTTTAGTGTACCTGTTTCTTCTCTCAGCTGTAAAGCATATTGAAACATTGATATAAGCCTAAAGAGCTTTAGATTTAGAACAACAGTGTTTTTGGTAAAATAAATGGATATTCTAAAAAAAAAGGTCCATGCTGAATTCCTGAAGGCTGTGAAAACAAAATGACTGTATAATGTACATACAATGGGGATTTTGTCACAAGAATGACCAATGGTCAGCAATGTGTCTCCATGCAACAGCTGGCTGTACATGCATCTTCTCTTTCTGCTCATCTGATAATAAACAAATGAAGCATTATTATTACTGTAATCACAGATATTAGAACTCATGAAAAATAGTTCTACTGCTTTATTAAATACACAAAAAAGAAACGAGAAAATAGAAATAACCATTAGAATTAGGAGAAATGTTAAAATGACAAGAAAATTAAAAATATAGCAAATCAATAATTCAAAGAGATTTTTTATGTCAATTTTGCTAATAAATAAATAAACAATCATACTTCAGATATAAAATAATAATTTAATATAAATAATTTTTAGTAAGAATTATTCAAATGAACTCTAGGCATGTTATACAGTGAGCATGCATTAAAACAACAACAACAACCGTAAAGTGTGCCCGCAACTAACTAAGTATCTAACGAACTAAACGCACTAATATTGGTTTCATTTTTATATTTGACTGTGTTATATTTGAATATGATTAAGAGGCAATGGATAATAAAATTGTGTGGTTGACCGTGTTGTTTTTGTATAACTCAGCAAACAAATGCAAATATTCAGTCAATATTTCATGTTTTTGACGAAATTGGGATGAAAAACGTATGAATGATTCAGTCACTGACTCGTTTACAAAATAAAGACAGTCCCTTGTCTCCATCTAGTGGCTCAATTACAAAAACACAACCCAAAGGTTTTTTTTTTTTTTTTTGTCCAACTGCTGGAACCAAAAGAAGCCACAATAAGAAGCAAACCATGCTTGACACTGGATCTGCATGAAGCAGGCTTTCAAAAATGTGGCATCTGAAAAACATAAGCATTTGATTTAAAAACTAAAAAATTGTAAGAGTAATAATTACAATTTTACTCAAACCATTTAAATCCAGGGAATGTTCTGAAAATTGCTGTAAACTAATTTTTGTGAAATAATTGTTTGGGGGAAAACGATGACCATATTTATTTTTGGAAACGCAATGTCATGACAACAACCCAATCGCACTGCATGAATATGTAAACAAATGTGTCTAACTGTGAGCTAACATGCTACGCCATAATTTCATTCATTTTCTTGTCAGCTTAGTCCTTTTATTAATCTGGGGTCACCACAGCGGAATGAACCACCAACTTATCCAGCAAGTTTTTACGCAGCGGATGCCCTTTCAGCCGCAACCCATCTCTGGGAAACATCCACACACACATTCACTCATACACTACGGACAATTTAGCCCAACTCACCTGTACTGCATGTCTTTGGACTGTGGGGGAAACCAGAGCACCCGGAGGAAACCCACACGAGCACAGGGAGAACATGCAAACTCCACACAGAAACACCAACTGAGCCGAGGCTCGAACCAGCAATCTTCTTGCTGTGAGGCGACAGCACTACCTACTGCGCCACTGCTTCGCCACACCATAATTTTAAACAAATAAAGACAAATTTGCAAAACGAAAAGTCTTGTTTACAATTTGAGCATGTGCTTGCATTCAACACAACAGTACATCTCTCAATTTAACAGCTGAACTCATTGGTCAAAGCTGGCTTTCTTTTAACATAAGCCCAGACACACACAAAAATCAAGGTTACAAAATGCATGAAATGTCATCTTACCTGGAACTGGCTAATATTGACGTTTGTCCTGTACTGATTACAAATTAATCCTTCTGATACATTTATGATCCTGCTAAAAAAAGCCTAGGCTGGTTGGCTGGTTTTAGCTGGTTAACCAGCCTGGTTTTAGAGAGGTTTTGGCCACTTCCTGTTTCCAGCCATTTCCAGTCTGGTCCTAGTAGCTGGCAAGGCTGGAAAATGACTAGCTAAAACCAGCTGACATAGCTGGTTTTAGCTGGTTATCCTTTAGCCTAACTAAAACCAGCCTGGTTGACCAGCTAAAACCAGCCAATCCGCATAGGCTGGTTTAAGCAGTTTTTTTTCAGGAGGGGAGCCACAAGAGGGAGCTGACAATCAACTTTGGTCATATGCATTGTGCACATTAATCGACTTTAGCTTGAGTTTGAATGACTTAAATTGTGTTTGAGTGATTTTAATTTCGTCTAGCCAACTTTGATACATATTTAACCCTGCAGGCTTTATTATTATACGATTATGTGTTAGAATCTGTCATGCAGTTCTCCATCCGCTCCACTAGGCAGTGCTCGCGCCTTCACGTTTAGTCTGACAGCTTCTTGGCAGCATGGCATTTGTTTTGGATAGTGAACTGTTTTGAATACTGAAGATGACAGCTCAGTGAGAGTGTTTTAAAGTCACTAAACAACATATATACTATATACTAAACAACATATCAACTAAAACAACCGACACACGCTGCGATAAAGTGGAGGAATGCAGTGAAACTCGACTCACCTGTGAGTATATTTACAGTATTGTTCTATTGAGGTAAAGTTGGCTTTACACTCACACATTCAGACTTTCTCCTTAATAACTCTAAATGCCAATGACTATTAAAAGTACAACATTGTTCAGTCAAATAAATAGTGCTAATGTTGTTTTCAGTTATATTTACATGCGATTTCAGCGAATATTCAAAGCATGGTAAACAATTTAATATATTATTATTATATATTAAGCTTAATTAATATATTAATATATATTATATAGTAAGCGTGTCACAAGTTGTCACTGATCTAATTTGTGAATATAAAACCAACTTTACCTCAATCATGAATTGTTTGATTATGGTGGTATTGAGGTAAAGTTGGTTTAAGATTCACATTATATTCAGACTTTCTCCTTAATAATATAATTTCAGAAAAGTAAGAAAATTCTAAATAGTGAAATTATATTAGCAGTCAATGACTACCAAAGTACATTGTTCAAAGTCAATTGTAATAATTGGGCTAAAGTTAGTTTTATATTCGCACATTTGTTCATGTTTGACCAATGACAAAAGTACTACATTGTTCAGTCAAATAAATAGTGCCAATGTTGCTTATTATACAAATTATACTGGCATGCAATTTTGCAATATAGTACCATAGTAAACAATGGAGGGAGCGTGTCACAACTAATGGGCGAACATAAAAACAAATTTACCTCAATCTACATATTCACTGTTTACCAGACATGCTTTCATACTCGGTAAATTTGGTTTTATATTCGTACATTCGTTCAGTGACAACTTGTGACACGCTTTATATATTGTTTAACATGGTAGTTTAAATATTTTGGTGTGAAATTGCATGTAAATATGACTTCAAAACAACATTGAGAGGGTGCTCGCTGCAGAGCCATTTGAGGAGAGGTGAGCTCCAGAGAGGGGGAGCATGAGCTGTCGCTCCTCCTCCTGTAAGCTGTTTTAATGCGTACACCAACCCCACCCCTAACCAGTGACATCACTCGTAGAAGAAGTGCAAAAAAGTGGAGCTCAAGCTTAAGCTCCCCCTCTCTGGAGCTCACCTCTCCTCAAATGACTCTGCAGCGAGCACCACTTGACAACATTGGCACTATTTAATTTACATTATGATTTCTCTAATTGGAATTTACATAGAGTACTTTTCTAAAATGATATTATTAAGGAGGAAGATCAAATATGGGTATATTAAACCAACTTTACTTCAACTATTGTTCTTACATGTTCTTATTCTGTCTTTTTCTTTGTACAAATACTTCAAGTCAAGTAAAGTGGAGTTTGCTTGTCATTCAGCTAGAGGAATAAAATATTGTGTCTCGCAGGACAACGGTGCTAGATTAATCATAAATACAAACACGACACTGGACATAAGAGCTATTTAAAAAAAAAACTATGCATAACTAACATTTACTATAAAATAAAATAAAATAAAATACTTAAACTACATAAGACAGGCTATACAAGTACTTTAACATGAGACTGAACAACGTTGTGCAGGATATTGTGCAAGAGAGGTAATAAAGGTGAATATTGTTCAAAAGAGGTATTTAAGGTTTAATATTGTGCAAGAGTTATTTAATGTTGAAGCGGGTAATGCAATATGATTGTGGTACATTTATAGTAAACGTTGCTTTCATTGTTTCATATACTACTGTTTTAATGATACAAATTATTACTCGTGTGAAGTATAATAACAGGGGTGTAAAATACTCAAGTAATTTTACTTGATTACTTAAGTGTCATTTTGGAGGATTTGTACTTTTACTTGACTTCTACAGTTTGATTTAACTATAAAAGCTAATACATTTTTCCGTTTTATTTTCTTCCTTATATTTTGCACATTAAAATAGTTAAACAATCAATGAAAGGTGCATACTTGAACAAATAATGTGTGTTTTTTTAAACTGAAAAAATTATTCAAAGATGATTCCTTGAGTTTACTTTCGAAGTTAGGTGGTTGTAAACAATTTGTTTATGCTGAACATTACTAAATTTTATTAGTTTAAATTCAACACAAATAAATAGTTTGCAACAATTTTGCAGACATTTTTTTCAGTGTACATTGTTTTAGCTTGTTAATCAACCATGGAAAAAAGAGATCCACTTGAAATGTTTTGCCGATTTGAAATCATTTATATTTATGAGTAAAACATGTTTTTTGTTGTTTTTATTTAGATTTTTTTTGGCATAAATATGGTGACATGTTTTCAGATTATATTCATAGCTTATATCCATTTAAAGACAACACATTTTATTTTCGCAAGAGTTCAGAAATCAGTTTAGTTGAATAACCCTATATTCTGACAAATTAACATTTCCTAGAAAGAAAGATGACAATATTTTATTGGAAACTTAGACAAGATGTGATCAGACATTTGTAGAATCATACAAATATTAATATTTTACTCAGACATACTAAACACTCATGCAAACCTTTGCACATGTTTCTCCATTTCAGTTTAGTTTTTTTTTAAATAATTTTCCCTGTGTTTATTCTAACAGCATAAATGTAAGTGTTTTTATTGACATTTGAATACTTCACCCTTGTTTCCTTCTACACTTGCAAAAAGTTCCTTCAGGACTTTTGGACAAAAAATTATCATTTAAACCCATTAAACTGTTTTTATTTAGTATCATTTAACTATAAAATGATGAATTTTTTCTTAATATCTAGGCTTTCATTCTATGGAGAGGCTTTATAATTTAAATTTGTGAAATATTTTACTTGATGGTGCCATTTTTTTTTTCAAGTTTGGCATATTAAGAAAATGCTCGCTTTATTCATGTCTTATGAAAATTATATGCAGCTTTAATTGTGTGGGTATGCTGGTATGCTACATGTCAAGTGTGTGGTTTGAATATGTGTTTTTGTAAAAAGTTTGACAAAAATAAATAATTTGTACTAGAAATCCCCCCATCAGGCCACATCCTTGCTATGAATATTACTGTAGGTCAAAGATGGTTAATGAGTCTTGATTTTATTATTTGTTTTAATCAAACTTAAATCTTCAAATGTTTTATTCCTTGGTCACACTTTTTTTTATTTTTTATTTAAGTAAGCTTGATTTTCATATAGAAGTTCAGAAGCCCCTGAACACCTTGAATTTGATTTCACCTGGAGAAAATGCAGTTTTTCTTTAATATGGTAGATTTTAGACAACGTTTGTGTTAACACTGGTTTACTTAAAACCAAATAGATATATGAAGCTTGAGTCTTTTTTTTTCTGAAAGGTATCTTTCTCTAGAGCTACAGCGCTCAGCATATATAAGTACACCCCATCTTTTAAATTGATATTTTTAATAGGAAGCTATACACTTTTATATTTGTGCATATACATTAGATCAGTCAGTACTGAAGCCAAATCTGGAGCTAATCTAACAAAAACAACTCATAATAACGGTTCAAAAACTAGTACAGCCAGATTTATATGTTATAGAAAAATATTAAATATAAATAAAAAAAGAAGAAAAATCAAGAGAAGCAAAAAAAAAAGAAACATTTGGTTGAAATTTTGTAGATTATAATTATTTTTTTCAATATTTTGCTTGAATTTAATTGCATTATCTTTCAATTTCTAAATATGTTTAATGACTAAAATATTATTTTAATAAATATATCTGTTTAATAAATCTGTTTTGTTTAAATGCACCAAAATACATTGCCTATATTTATTGAGAAATTGATAAAAATAAAAAATTTTAGAATGGGGTGTACTCAATTATGCTGAGCACTGTATATTGCAGCCACAGACAATAGCTATGTTTTCATCCAAAGATAGGAATTAACATTTGCTAAACTGGAATATCACATAAAACATTTGTGAATAAACCAAAATATCCTTTCAATGAGTCAAAGAGAACTAAATCATCACTTCCTGATAAACTGGTGCAAAACTGGTAAAAAAAAAATTGAGAGTTATAGGTGTCATAAAAACAATGTTTTGACTTATTTTTTCTTTTTTGCGTTAAAATCAGTACTACTTTTCACATTTTGTAAAGAAAGCATGTAAAAGACTACAATTCTGACAATAAAGGAAATTTGGTTATTATGATTAGAACTGATGAAAAATATAAGAGAGGGAAAGTTAAAAAAATGTTTTTATGACAGTGTTTGGACATGGAAATTTTTGTCCTTTCAGGGCTTTAATGGAAACATTTTTTTTCCAACACTGCCTTAAATATGAATGTCTTAAAATTTATGTTTTTTGTTTATCATTGTCACATCCAAGGCTGTAATTAAAGAAGAAAAAATGCATATATTATATGGAAATATATTAAATATATGGAAATATATATTAAAAGCATATATTATATGGAAAATAACTACTATTTTTAAATTATTTTCATTAAAAAACATGCAATTTGTTTAAAACAAAAAAACAAACAAACAAACAGAAAGTACTGATGCTGGTGTAGAAATCGATTGAAATCAGCTAAAATAGAAAATACACCAATATAAATTTTAATAATAATAATAATAATAATATATATATATATATATATATATATATATATATATATATATATTGATTCCCGTCCAATCAAATCGCACATAGAAGGTAAATTGCATCATAATGAACTACCTCAAGACATGGGCGATTTATAATTGCAGCAAACTGTTTGGAAGCATTAAAAATGCCCAAGAAGATGTTCAAAATCTTTATATGTATTGACCCAAGTAAAAAAATACATAACCCAGAGACTGTTTCAATGCATGTCACTGATGAGAAGACAACGTATGTTTACTGTATGATGACCGAAATGGCCTTAAACACCCAGCAGACACAAGACATCAACATGACATCAGATTGACGTTGTACATTGCATTTTTAAACAACCTAAAATTAACCAAATATCAATGTCATTTGATGTCATTATTGGACATCCAAAATAATGTTGTCCTTAGACGCTGGCTAGACCTTGAATTTTGGTCACCTGATATCACAACCTAAATCTAACCTAATATTAACGTCTTTGTGCCTGCTGGGCAATAACTAGATGCACTACAGAATGTTACGTTTACACACACATGCACAAATTAAATGTAAATGCATCCATCAGCTTTTATAGCGTAATTCTTACTACTCTTGAGTACTTTTGAAAGCTCTACTTTTTACTCCTACTTTGAGTAATATTTACATACTTTTACTCTACTTGCGCGACATTTTTAGGAAAGTAATGGTACTTTTTCTTAAGTATGATTTTCAGTACTCTTTCACCACTGCTTAGAGTACATGTAAACAGATTTGCAGCCAGATTATATTAAATTCTTTTGTTGCACTTGTTGTACAATAAATGACAAACATAAAACACATAGTGAGGAACATTGCAGGCTGCGTCTTTGTTTATTTATGCATGTTTGTATTTAGCTTGTGTATGTTTATTTGTATGTATTTATCATATTTAATTATTTTATTAATATTTTTATAACTCTTTATTTATAACTTTTTTGCACAACTATCCTAGAAAAATGCTGCACTTACATTTATTTGTAAACTCCAGTTGTCGATTCTGTGACACCAAACAACTTTACTGCATTTTAAAATAGAAATGGGTCACAACCTTTATACACTCAATGAATCAAAAATAATAATAAGAAAATAAAAATGTACATTATTTTAATGCCTGAAAATATTATTTTGATTTTTTTTTTTATATTTGCACCGATATTTAACAATTTTACATTGGTTAGTCAGTAATTTGTTTTCACTGCAAAGTGCACTTCAGAGGACATTACATGCAATTTGCAACCAGTTAAATGGATGAGCCTTAATTTGGATCATATGAATTGGTTACTGTAGATCTGCACTGACTTGATCATTTGAACCAGTGAATCGTTACCTTGTAGATTTGCTCTGACTAGATCATTGAGTCAATGAATTGTTACCTGTAGACTTGCTCTAAATGGATCATTGAATCAGTGAATCGTTACCTGTAGACTTGCTGTAAATGGGTCATTTGAATCGGTGAATCAATAAATGTAGACTTAGTCTGAATGGATTATTGAATCAGTGAATCGTTACCTGTAGACTTGCTTTGACTGAATCATTGATTCAGTGAATTGTTACCTGTCGACTTGCTTTGACTGAATCATTGATTCAGTGAATTGTTACCTGTAGACTAGCTCTAAATGAATCATTGAATGGTTACCTGCAGACTTGCTCTAAATGAATCATTGAATCAGTGAATCGTTACATGTACACTTGCTCTAAATGGGTCATTTGAATCATTGAATCATTAAATGTAGACTTGCTCTAAATAGATCATTGATTCAGTGAATCGTTACCTGTAGACTTGCAAATATTTGTCTAGTAAGCATGAATGTTATTTATTTATTAAGTATTGCTTAGAATATCTGTCAGAGTCTGATGTTTAGATCTGTTGTTTGACAGTGTCTTTATTTCTGGATTTCCTCTAGGAAATAAGGGATGTGCTTGGACCATTGACAGAAGCAGAGCTCCAGGACATTTGGACAGCCGTTTTGGACATCTGCTGATGGTCAGGTAAGACTCACTTTTGTGTTTGTGTTCTGTTGTATCGGTTACCATCACTTCCTTTCTAGAGAGGTGACCTCTCCAGAAAGGAAGTGATGGTAACCGATAGCACATAACACAAAAACGAGCGGGAGGTCTTACCTGTCCGCAGCAGACGTCCATCACGCCAGTAAATGTAGTCCAAACGTCCCGGAGCTCTGCTTCTGTTGACTGTACGGTCCAAACACATCCCTCATTCTCTAGAGGAAACACAGAAATAGAGACACTGTCAAACAGCAGATCTAAACATCACACTCTGACAGATATTACAGTTAATAATTCAGAATTATACACATTTACAGCCTAAATATTGCCTGTGCAAGCTCTAGAAACACAGCAGAACATCAGAGCTTCACAAACTGACTTGTTGACACATATTATGTCTTGTTCTGCTTTATAATGAGAGGCTGTTTAACTCTGAGCCTTTACATATTAAACAGCAACTACCAATTCATTTGCTCCTAAATGTCTGACAGTGACAGAGAGCAGCATGTAAACAAAGCTGTTTAACAAACAGGAGAGCTCTGCTTAAACATATCACTAAAGACACTTCAATAAGTGCTAAACATGAACTTAACTACGACTGAAGTACAAAGAATAAAGACTTAATGAGGAAATGCAGGAGAAATACTGTACAGTTACTTACAGATGAGTCGCTTTTCACTGCATTCCTGTCCTTTATCTCAGCGTGTGTCGGTTATTTTAGTTGTCGGACTGCATTAAATGTTGTTTAGTGACATTAAAACACTGTCGCTGAGCTGTCATCTTCAGTTTATGTGTTGAAAACTGCACACTCGTGCTGCTGCTGCTGCACCAAAACAAACGTCACACTGTCAACATCCTGAAGCTGTGATTCAGAGTGAACGGGAAGTCGCGCGCGCCGCCTGGTGGAGCGGATGGAGAACGTTAAAGGCAGCGTTATTTAAAAGTCTGATAAGTCATTTAGTCTCCCATACAGGTACTGACCAAGCACAAACCGGCTTAGCTTTAGTGGGCAACCATGTGAGAGTTGCAGAGAGCGAGCTGTCAGCTTGAAGCGGTGAGATCAGAACCCCAGTCTTCACAATGCTCTAACCGCTATGCGACTGAAGATGTTCTCTTCAAGGATTTTAATGGTACTTCTTTTGAAATTCCCAACTATATTCTTATTTGAGGTGTGCAACAATAAAATTAACCACTGAGCCACTGGGCCTGTAGTGTGCTTGTCAAAAGAAATTATTAAGCAAACATCTAGTCTGTACCTTTTTTTTGGGCAGATGTTTATTTAAATGGGTTCCCAATAGGTGCTCTGTTTTGACACATTGGTGAGAGGTCAGAGCCTACCACTATTGCTTCCAGGGAGTAATTGGGGGCTGCTTTGCTCAGCACTGCCACTAGGAGAGTTCATTGACTTTCCCACATTCAATTGCTGCCAGGTCCAGGAATCAAATATGCAACCTTTCGATTACTAGTCCAACTCCCTAACCATACGGCCACAACTGCCCCACAAACAAGAGTTACAAAGATGGTCCCCAACTTTTTTTTGGCACATTTTTTTAGCATGCAGCCATTTTGATTTCAAGGCATGTTATTTTTTCTTTCTTCTGACACTAGAGAGCACAAGATGTTTGGAGCATAGATGGAAAGTTGTCTCATGCATCTTGGCTAAACACTAAACCTCGAACATTTTGTATTTGAAAGTTTTCTGTCTTTAAAACCCCAAAAATGCACAGATTGTCACTTTTAATTTCAACAGTTTTCAAGCTTTAAATTTATAAATAACTCAAACTACAATTTCTGCCACATAATCACTGCAGGATAGATGATTTCCCCCAAAGTCATACGCTCATTCAAATGATGATTTACAAGAAACATGCAAAACAGACTGGATTTGGAAAAAAATAGCTTTAATTGAACTTTCTTTGACATAAACATGCATAAAACAGTACACAGTACGTGATATTCACTGATAAGGTTATAGCATAACAATATCAAGAGTTTGCAGGCAATTCTAACAACGTTCCCTCCCAATTACCACAACATTCAAATAGAAAAAATTACAAAAACATGCAGCAAACAGACACATAATACCAGGCCAGAGTATAAAAGACAATCAAATCCTTAAGAAATAATCGCCGTTTGATTTGTAGTCTTTGGTTTTTAGCTTGGTGCAAACACATAAATACTGTTTCAGTGAGAGGATGCACTGCAGATCCGAAATGAATAAATAACACAAGGTTACACTATTGCATTCACAGCGCAATCCTGCTAGTGGAGCTTATTTTGTTCATAGTAAAATCACAGTGTCGTGCTGCAGGGTTTCAGTTCTTTGGGAAATTTCACAACTACAGACTTAAGCAATGATTGTCATGTTCAAACATTAGTCGTCATCTGTGGCGCTGGTTTCAGGTGAATGAGGCGACGCTTCCCTGAAGAATTCCTCCTCTTTCAGCATGCTCTGAAACGCATGAGATCAGCGTTAGGAGGATAAATAACTGCAACAGATACAAAACAGCTGGAACGTTTACACAGTTTTCTTACAGTCAGGTTGTTGATTTCCTCTGAGAAAGCGCCGATCTGTCGCACTGTACCCTCAGAGTCTTCCATCTGCACAGAGATGCATAACATCATGTACAATATTTAACATATACACAGCTCTCTGGAATACATGAGCAGATCAGTCAACATTCAAAGCTATGTTGTTCCCAGATAACAACTGCTGAAACTAATAACAGAGGGTCAACTCAGTACTATGAACCATCCTGAGTGTTAATGAGTTTGTTCATATACATATTTAAGTGATGATTTGTCACTCTGCTGTTTTTGAGGGTTTGGCGCCATCTTGTGTGGAAATAATAATATGCAGCTTAGTGTATTCAGCCATTTTTCTGAAAGCTTCAAGCTTAATTAAAATGTTAGTAAATGTTTACAGCTCATATGAGTGTTTTGTGTATAACCAGTAGAGATAGCCAATTATAACAAGCTTTTGCACTATGATTAGCCATTTTAGCAGCATTGCATTCTGGTCATTGCATTTGCAGTACCTGCTCCAGCTTATCTAAGCTGTCCTCATATATGCCCTTATGGAAACTGCTGCTTTGAGGCATTTGCACATCCATAGGGCAAACATACTCCTCCATATCCTCTTGCCTCTTTCGTCTCAGTGTCCCAAAACTTCCGAATGACAGTCTTCTTGGCTACAAGCAGAAGACAACATTACATTTCTGCTGTCAAAAAGGAGTTCACAGTTATTTTTGACATATTCATAAGCTTTAACGTGCCTTTACTCTGGCTGTGGCTGTGAGCACAGTGTAATCAGGGTTTTCCAGATACTCCTGCTTCTGTTTCTGTGCCTCCGAACCAATCAGAAGATGGAAGTGGGTCGCAAGGTGACGTCTCAACAGCGTCTTATTTGGTGGGATGTTAAGAAGCAGGGCCATCGTCTCAACATTGAAGCGGGGCTCCAAAACCTGAGAAATGCAAGTATAAATCGTAGTACAACAACTTTAATGTGGTAAATCTGCTTTTACATGTTCATCGCATGTACCATTAGGCCTCCGTGGACTCCACTTCCTCTCAGGTTGGGGGCGTACTCTGCCAGATCCACTGAACGCAGCCACTCCATCACTCTGTGATTGGTCCACTGACAGATTTCAGCTGGTGTGGCGTTGTTCTAATAATAAAAAAGAAAGATGTTAAATCATATTATAAGTGAATGAAGCAAAGTGTGTGTCAGCAGGAAGGCAGGGTATGTTACCTCTATTGGTCGACGGCGCAGACAGTTTGGGTCGTAGCCGTTGAGGCGTAAAACCTGGATGGCCCTCTTTATACTGAGATGGTGAAGCACACTGCCAACTTTCAGACCCAGCAGGTCATCCTGAACAAAGACATGGCGAGTCAATCTCACTTTTGTGGATGCAGTTTATACTTACAAAATGATGTAAAATAAATAAAGAAAAAGTTATTTAAAATTTTTTTGTAAATCTATAACCATTGTCTTATATAGTATTTGTTCTTACTAAGGATGTCAATGGTTACAGGATTTCAGCTTTCCTCAAAATGTCTTACTTTGTGTTTAACAGAAGAAAAAAACTCATAAGGAGGAGAGTAAATGTTGAGTAGAAATTTTACCCTTTAATCAAATGCTTCTTGCTTGTCTTTTTAAATGTTTGACCTTTCTACTTTGATTTGTATACTGTATACGTGACACCTACCACAGTCATGTAGTGAAGCATGCGTCCATCCACTCTGCCCTCATCAAACTGAGATTTATACTGGGGCAGGCCGATATCATCCAGCCATTCTTTGGCATAACGAAAATAATTAGTATCATAACAAAATCAACACTGCATTTGTTATTAATAACAGATTAGCATTACTTACGAGTAACCCAGTTGTAGTCCAGTTTGCCCATAGCATCTCCGTCCTCTGAGCTGAGCGACTGAAGAGCCAGCTGCAGTTTCTTTCTGTGTAGAGGATGCCTGATGCCCAGTTCCTGAAGCAAGCGCAGAGAAAAATATAATACTGCACACAACACAATAACCCACTGTTGACATTTAAGAATGCGGAGACCTTTTCCCAATCATGCTGAGACGCCTTCAGTAAAGTGTGTCCAGATTTAATCCACTGCTGGGCCTGATTCATATATAAGCCCAGTCCCTGTTCCTGCAGCCACTCACACACCTGCTCTTTACTCCAGCGGGAAAATGCACTGTTGAGCTCACTTAGAGAAACACACGAGTTACACCCAAATCAAACACAATGATTATTGAAAAACTCTTGATAAGTAAGCGGTTTGTACTTGTTATTGCTCCTCTGCAGATCACGTGACCAGCCCAGTCTGGGTCCCGCTGTGGCTCGAACTCCACCTCTCTGAAACTCAGAGTCTGGAGAATCATCCAGGTCAGAGGAGGTGGACTGACTTCTCTTCATCCTGACCAACACATTTTAAATATGATTAGAAGGTGATATTTTGTCTTAACACTCAGTGCATCTTACACATAACATATGATGAAAATGTCCTCCTCATTTCTTCACACTTAAGTGGTTAAACTTTTATGGACATCTGTCATCTGTTGAACGCAATACAGGATATTATGGAAAGTGTTGGAACAAAAGCAGCCATTGACTTGCATAATGTTTTTTGTTCCTACTATGGCTGCTTTTGTCAGAATATTTTCCTTTGTGTTCAACAAAGAAATTCATACAGATTTGGTTGAGGGTGAAGGATGAGTTTTGGAGTGAACTACATTTTTTTTAAACAAGCACCTTCCAAATAACTTCATGATGCCCTTTGATTTCTTCTTCCCATCAGGTGAGTGTGTGTCCAATGCTTTCTGCTTCTTAGTTTGCACTCCGGCCAAATCCAAGTGCTCCGTCCCCTTCTGCTCTCCCTCAGCTGCCAAAAAGCCAATAATAGAGTTAATCTTACAAACAACAAGCATGCTTTTCTTCAAGAAAGTGGAAAATTGGTTTAAAACAGTACAGCTTCATATAGAAAGAAAGTATACGACATTGTTTAACAGACACGGTTTGGCAAAAGTCACCTAGACTGGGAGCGCTGCCTGTCATCTTGTTCCCTCTGATCTTGAAAAAGCCACGTCCAAAAGAGGAGCGAGTTTTCTTACTGCCAAAACTCTCATTTCTCCCTGAGCTGGGCTGAGTCGGGGAGATGGATGGAAAGCCTCTGTTTTTGCTTGCTTCATCCTAAAATATTATAAGTAATTGTTTAAAGATCTTGATCAAGATACAACACTTTTTTTTATTTTTACAAACTATTCCCCCCGAAAAAACCTCTCAAGTAATTGGTCTAAAACAATTATGACAATTTAGATGCTTAGAAAATCAACAACCATTGTAAATGTAATCAGAGTGTGGAAAAGTATCTAAAATGAATTGCTAATTGTGTTTTTTTATGTGTTTGTCAATGAATTGGGTTTATTTATGTCAGGTATACTGTAGTAATTCGCTGTAGGGGCCAGTATCTGTAGATGGAGCTGTTGTGCTAACATGAGCTGTTATTGTGTGCAAGTGGTGTTTTAAACTACACCAGAAAGCTGAATGTTCATGGCATTTTTTATAAGACCTCAGGCTAAATGGGCATTTCATCATTTCTCATTTTACAGTCAGTACCTCATTACTGCTAGTCAAAGGAGACCTTTCAGATTGCTGTACTTCAGAAACACTGAAAAACAAAAATTGAAGTAATACATGC